TCTGAGGTCTCAGTGGCTGGACTGCTGGGAATCAGTGAATCCTCATCATATTCTTTGGGCAGTGGAAGTGGTGTGTGAAGCTACAACAGAGAGAGGAATGTAGTTAAATCTCAGTAGTTAATCACTGATTCATTTGATTACAAATTTGTACATTACATATCAAGATTGCTTTGATAAAATGTGCTTATGTGGTAGATAATAGTGAAGCTGTTCTTATGGTACTATATGCGAGGAAACACGGAACTGTTTTTTTTTAAAGTGAGGCTATGATTGTCAGTTTTTTAAATTCACAACGTTTGTGGCTGTATCCAATAACTTAACTTATAACCTGTGCTTTAAGAAAAAGCTTCACTTGGATACAAGTTAGGTTTAAAAGAAAAAGAGAGACAGGAGAGGATTCAAACTGCATTTACAGCACCCCCTGCAGGAGAGGGAGAGAGAGCTTTATCCTCTGTATTTGACTAATTCTGCACATTCTTGCTAGCCATCCATTGTAATGGCGGTGTACTACAAATTGGTGCCTCCATATTATGAGCAGTGGGCAGCATATTAGTCATGCTGCTCTACCTGTTCTATCTTGTGTTCTTTGAGGATGACAGTTTCTGGAGAGACACGGGGAATCCTGGGAATGGCTGGTGAGTAATTTCTGTTTAAAAAGAGAAAGAAATTAAGTCAAACCAACATTCTCTGCGTTTCACCTCCTCTCAAGTGTTCATCCCTGGTGTTTGTTGAATGTCTATAGTCCCCCCTGCAGCCCGTCTTATTTATCTATACATTAACGTGTAACTACCAGCTTGGCTTGCTCCACTAATTCCCCACCCTGCCCCCCTTACGCTGTGCCCAGCCCTCTCTCATACTCCAGTGATTTCTTTGGGGAGAGGAAATCATCATCATGGTCTTTCATCTCATCCATCTTCATGTACCTGGCCCCTTCCGTTCCCAAGAGCTCCTCTCCTTCATAGAACAACATGCCAAAGAGAGCGAACAGATGGTGGTCAGTTTGGTGAAACAGCACCAGAGAAGGAGAGAAAGGAAAGGAAAGAACAAAACTGTTACCCAACGGTTAGACAGCATGGCAACCCAGGGTTTAGGTGACTCTGATTTACAGATGAGATATTAGTGACAGAGTCCTATATATGTGCAACCACCCCTACAGAAAAAAATGCATAACTAATATTTAAAGTAAAAGGCTGCTGCTAGATTCAGCTCCTAGACTCCTCACAGGTGTAGCAAGGGTTTTTAAAAACCTATAAAAAACTTGGGTTGGAGCAGCTCTGCAGAAATAAAATATTTCTGGGGACAGCACACATCATCATAATCTCCAAAATTGTGCTGTCAGGTAAATAAATAATTATTGAATTTGAGGGTTAAGAGGTTGCTGCTGATTTTGCTGTTCACGGCTGAGAGGAACAACCATATAAAGGTGGTTCTCTCAAGTGTGAACAAAGTCATCCAAATACAAATCACCAAGTTGTTAATAATATATATATATACAATAGCCACTTTCTGTTTTTTACTAAGGCCCAACAACATTAACTCACAGGAACAAACAGTCAAACATCACACAACAGCAACACAGGATGCACAATTAGGGTGACCAGGTCTTCAGTGGCAACAGATTTTTATTTTTCTAAAAATAATAGATGCATAGAACTACAAATCATACCTCTTAATTAACCCCATCATCACCACACCTGAACTCATTAAATAGTTGTTCAGGAACGCTACGATTATAGTATAGCACATTAATAAAATGAAACAGAGACAGAATAAACTCGTCATGCCTTGGTTTGAATTATCAAATGGAAAAAAGCAACACAATCAGTTATATGTAACAAAGTAACAATGAGTAATTGCATAACTTATGTTGCTTTATGTCATATTTGTTTTGGGACCGATTGACAAATGAGTGTGAAATGAACTGTCGATCACTTTTCTGCATTAGCTTACAAAGGCTACAACCTATGATCGTGTGGTTGATACGTCCACATCTGACAAACACCAGTCATAGCCTGCCCTGTTGTTTCCTTATAGCCTCGTGTGATATCACATCAAGTGTTTGTGTGCAGGAACAAGAAAAAATGTCCAAATATTTTGGACTTCCACATATAGATACCTGGTCACCCTACTCACAATGGAGACATATCAAAATGTAGACTTATATCAAAACACGATGACTTAACAGAAACGATAAACATTTAATCTAAGCTCTGTGAGTAAATTCTATGATCTGAAGGTTCTGACAAAAAGACCACAAGTGGACAGTTAAAAGATTAAATTGTTAGGTAAATGACACTAGAACAAACATGGTTGCTTAAGGTGCATGCTAATGAGAAACCAGAGCCACCATTACAGTGAGCACAGTAAGTGAGAGCGAGAGGGAGGTGAGGAAGAAAGGATGGTGAGAGTGTGAGTGAGTGATCGAGCTTGAAATGGAGCCATACACTTGGAGACGACCACCTATGGATGCCACACCAAAAAAGAAGGAGACATTCATACCTAACGTTAGCTGAGCAATTCCTAAAAAAGGCAAAGGCAAAACAGGATTTAATAAAAAAAATATTTGTGCCAGAGCATTTTAAAACAATAAAAAATAAGTCTAGTATGCAATAGGTTTTATCAGTGCTTCCCCAAACCTTCATTTTCAGAATATTTTCAAAATATACATAGTTAAATATACTTTAGTCCTTTCTAGTTTTTTGTCTTTCACAGACCACATCAACAATTCATGAAAATTGTCCATTTTTGACCTAATGTGGGCCTCACAGTTTACTGTATCACACCAAAGGCCACTTTGTACTCATGCAACCAAGATAAATCCATGTGAAGCCTACATTAAGCTGCTATGGAATGTATGTGTGTGTGTCACAAAGCAGTTAAAACAGACTTCTTTTTTTTAAAATTTGTACAAGACAAATTTAAAAACTGCAAACTGTTTCACTGGCGTATTCTATAATCATGATATTGGCAGTTCATTTCAAAGTTATTACTAATTTTATATTGAGATTTAAAAATATTTCCATTTGTCTACCTTCATCTTCGGACACATCTACAATCTCATCCAAAGTTTCAGGGAAACTCATGCGGTGTTTCTCTGTGGTTGTCTGCAGGAAGTTAGAAAAACAGAACAGTGTCAGAAAGTTCAAAGGATTTTTTACATGTTAGTTAATAAAGTAATGTAGATAAGACATTCATCATTAAGTTATACGTTTTTTCCTGAACTTTTTTACCATGGAAACTGTCTCCTCCGTGACCAGCTTTAGGACATCAATTACAGAGATGTAGCCCAACCTTTTAGCAATAGCTAAAGCTAAAGTACCGTTCTAAAAAAAAGGAGAGAAACATATTAATTGGCTGGAGATCAGCTGTATCAATGGAACGAAAGGAAGATGTGGCCTGTTGGTACTCACTGTTGTGGTCTCATTGGGCTGGGCTCCATGCTTCAGCAGCAGTGTCACAATGTCTGTGTGTCCCTGCTGGACTGCCTGGTGTAGAGGTGCGTAACCAAGCTGTGAGAGTAGAAACAAACAATAAAAAAACCATTAGAACAATGAAATCACAAAGTCAATTTGGTTGTTTTGACAAGATTTGTTTGTATACTAATAATGAAGAAGAAGAACTGCCATTAATGGCTTTGTTGTCCTTATACATGTACAGACACAACCAGATTTGTGTTCTGCATTAAATCTATCCCTGTTGACCATTTGGTGTTTTCATGAATGCCCTGGGAAGGCGGGAATTATTTTAGAGCTTGTGCAGCACATCACAACCAGCCAAGCAGGATTCAAACTCGTGCTCCTCTGATAACAAGCTGACCTCCCAATACTACATACTTGATAAAATGTTGAATTGTTGATTCCGTAACTTGGGTCCCAGATGTTTATTACTTATCTTTGACAATGAATGTTGACACAGCAAAGCTTTGCTGAGATGTAGTTTTATGTTTACACCAGAGGGTGGCACTCACCCTTGTTTTGCTGTTGACATTGGCATGTTGCTGCAGAAGGAACTTCACCATTTTGATGTTGCCATAGTGACACGCTACATGGATAGGGGTGTAACCCATCTGACAGCAGTGAGATAGAAAGTAGGTGAAAACGTTTGTCAAAAATTAGTAACCTGAGCAATATTGGAACTATGATCATCATCTTTTTCTTATTCAGATTTGCTGAGTGAATGGCATAAAAAAAATGAACATTATTATTAATAAAAGATGTATATAGGTTGAAATACATTTGGGCAAGAATTCTTAACTATAATTGTTTTACTTGTGTCTTACTTTACTTCGCTTTTTTGAAGCTGTGTGACTTCGTCCATTTCTCATTGTAAGGCTAAGGGTGAATCTTGTTTAAAGTGAATGCATTCATACGATCAACCCTGAGGACTTCTCACCCGTGTTGCAGCATAAACGGAAGCTCCCTGCTTCACCAAGATGTCAGCGATGCCGACATGTCCCTCCTGTGCCACCAGGTGGAGAGGGGTCAACCCACTCTGTCCATGACATAAGATACACGACAATGGTTATAAAAAATACTGCATAAACGTCAACACTGAGCCATCATCCACTCATGTTGTTGTTCTAACCTTGTTTCCAAGGTTTACATTGGCCTGTTTGGAGATGAGCAGTGACACCATGTCCGGCCTTCCTTCCTGCAAGGCCAGGTGAAGAGGTGTGACTCCCTGCAGTGACTCAGCATTGGCTGAAGCTCCGTACTGCAGCAGGCTGTTTGCCACCTCAACCTGGTTCTGCTTAGATGCTATGTGGAGGGCAGTGTATCCGTTCTGAAGTACACAGTAGTAGCATTGAGAAAAAAAACCCTCAGAAGTCAGCTGTGTGTGTAAATGTGTGTGTTTTTATATTTACTCTTGCTGCGCTGTGTGGTGATCCTCCTTTGGTGACTAGAAGATTCACAATGTCAAGGTTGTTGTGGTGTACAGCAACATGCAGTGGAGTCAGACCATTCTGTAGAACACAGTCGGTCATTAGAATATGTCAGTTTTTGTCATTTTTTCTGCTGTACACCAAAACTTACTTTTCCTGCAGCATTAGGATTTGCTCCTCTCTCCAGCAGCAGCTCTGCTACATCCACTTTCCCATACTTAGAAGCCACATGAAGAGGAATGAAGCCTTTCTACAGAGGCAAAATTGACATTTGAAACACACTATTAGCTTGACCAAAGTTCTATAATAATAAATGATAAATTGGAAAGTTCATGATCAATGCTTTACTTTTGTCATCTTCGTCTGTTGAGCCTCCATGTCCAGTAGGATGCAAACAGTTTGTACATGACCTTCCCGGGCAGCGATGTGTAGGGGTGTGTGTCCAGTTGTGGTGGTGGAGTTGGGGTTTGCCTTGTGGTCCAGCAGCAACTTCACTAGCTCTTTGTGGCCCATTCGAGATGCACAATGCAAAGGGGTTTGGTCATCCTGAACAGGAACGGAGACAGAATTCATGAAGTCTAACATAACCATAAGCCTGATCTCAAGGCTTTTGCAGTGACTGATCCCTACCTTAGCCTTGGCATCCACAGGTGCTGAATTCTCCAGTAAAAACTCAGCTACATCATAGTGTCCTGCTCGAGACGCCATGTGAAGAGGGGTCTCCACCTTCTGCTCAGAAGCAAACAGACAAACAACAATCAGAATCAACACTTTCCAATGGTAGTATTTAGTTATTTGCATTTCTCTCAGAATTTCAACCCACCACATTGGAGGTGCTGGGGGAAACTCCTTTCTGCAGGAGGCTCTTCACAATTGTCAGATGACCCATAAATGATGATACGTGCAGAGGAGTCAGGCCAGACTGTTTAAAAACAAGCAATATTTCACAATTAAGAAATACACCCATAGTTCAACCATCTATATTAGATTAATGCTGCAGCCATGTTGGCTGGTCCTTAGTACTTCCTCACCTCAGTCACTGCTTCTAATGATGCAGCCTGTTTCAGCAAGAGGTCCATCACACGCATGTGGTTCTTTTTACAAGCTATATGCAGTGGAGTGAAGCCGTTCTGTTGTAAAGAGAGCATTTATCATAAAATCATCATAAAATCTCCTATTTGTCTTAGAGCATTTTGACAGAAAAAGCAGAGAAAGTGAGTCAGAGTCTGACGTGTTTGTTACTAACCAGTGCTCTAGAGTTTGGTTTGGCCCCTTTGTCCAGCAGTACTTTAGCCATTCGGTGGTGGCCACAGTGTGCAGCCACATGGAGTGGAGTGAGGTGGTCCAGTGTAATGTCATCGATCTCTGCATTGTACTGCAGAAGCTGTTTAACACAGTCCATGTGATCTCCTTGTGCTGCCATGTGGATTGGAGATAAACCATTCTGCAGTGAAAGATAAGATGTAGTGCTTATTCATTGCAAGAAAGGAAACAAGAAAAATAGTCAAAAAATAAATACATTAACATTTACATTATGAATCCACTACATCCATTTTTACCTTAGTCTTTGCCTGGATGGGGGCCCCATGGTCGAGCAGGATTTCTATTAACCTGACATGACCATTTCTGGCTGCACAGTGCAGAGGAGTCAGCTCATCCTGGAGGGACGCAGTGAGAGAATGAAAGACGGACAATCGTTGATGATCAAGTTAATGATGCATCAAAGACATTAAACTAATCAAGGGTAGGAAGCAGAAAGACAGATGTCTGTCGCACCTTGGTCTTGGCATCGATCTGCGCCCCTCTGTCCAGGAGGAGTCGCACCATGATCACGTTCCCTCGTCTTGATGCAATGTGCAGAGGAGTGATGCCATTCTGTAGGGAGATACAGATAGATGCACTTAGACACAGATAACACAGAGCAAGGACACCAGATTAACATTCCATTAGTTATTCCCTACCTTTGGGGTGAAGTTGACATTGGCTCCTCTGTTGAGCAACAGCTGAGCAACATTCAGATTTCCATAGTGTGCAGCAATGTGCAGGGGAGTAAATCCAGTCTGCAAGGACACACTGTTGTTACCACTGTCCATTAAAGAAAAAAATACACAGTAAGCAGCAGTATTTTGGGTGACAACATCCTGTTGACAGATTCAGGGAATGGCTGATCGGGACACAATAAGTCAAATCTTATAGCAGATAAGAAAAACAAGCAACAGTCTTTGTGGACTCAATTTTCCATCCATCTCTATCCATTTTCATCCGCTTATCCCTTACCGAGTCGCGAGGGCAGCAGTCGCCACCCAAATCTCATTGCACCACACCAACCCCCCAAACCTTCCTGCAGGTGGTGAGCTCACTGGAAGGTACCAACCGCCCGAACCGGGATTTGAACTTTCCCAGGAAGTGAACTCTGGAGTTCCACACCAATGACAGAGACATTGCCTCTGGGCCAACGCTACACAGACTCAATTTTATTTCTGACAATTAAGAACCGGAAACTATCGCTTGAAAGTGGCATAAAGCATGAACTCATGCTTCTATTCAACTTTGCATTGATGGATCAGGGTTGTGGTGGTGTAGTGATGTGTAGGAGAAATGTTTTTAGAAAATTTCTCGGGTTTTGAATTTGTGCTATTGAAGCCTGTTGATTTGGGATACTACAATAATACATATACTGTACCTTAAAATAACATGCGCTGTATATCCAATAACTGCACCATCCATCCACTTATTGTTGCTGATGGAGGCCAATTGTGCCTTGAATGAGACTGTGGTCGTTGCTTCCCGGTGTGGGCGTACGCCTACAGATCACTCGGACGGTGATTGGGCTGGATGGTGGAGGCGCGCACCTGACGGTACTCCCAATAAGGACGAGGGAGTATTTAAGGTCCGTCCTGCCGAAGAATCAGCGCTAGAGTGTTGTACATACAATCGGTTGGTGAGTCGAGGCGCTGTCGAGTCTCTTGCAATGTTAATTATGTTTTTGAACAACTTATCACTTACTCATCTGACCGCTCTGAGGTAGCATTTTTAATCAGTCTCTTAACGGGGAGAGCCGCGCAGTGGGCAGCTGCGTTGTGGGAGAAGCACTCTCCGGCTTGTAACTCGTTCGCCTTATTCTCCGCCGCGTTGAGGGAAGTTTTCGATCATTCCGTCAAAAGGGAAAGATGCGGCGAAGAGATAATTGGCTTTACGGCAGGGGGGTAGTTCGGTGGCTGATTATGTTGTGAACTAGAGCTGTGTCGTTCGCGAGTGATTGTTCAAAATGAACGAATCTTTCACATGAGTCGTGACTCCCGAGTCATATGAAAGATTCGTGACTCGTGACTACCGAGTCATATTAAATATTTATTCATATTGAACTCACGAATCACTCACAAATCACTCACTGCGAAGCAATCACACTCTGCGAACTAATCTTTCACTGTGAACTAATCTTTCACTACGATTTAATTACTCTGCAAACAAATCTTTCACTACGATCTAATTACTCTGCAAACTAATCTTTCACTGTGAACTAATCTTTCACTACGATTTAATTACTCTGCAAACAAATCTTTCACTACGATCTAATTACTCTGCAAACTAATCTTTCACTGTGAACTAATCTATCATTGCAAACGAATCACTCTCTATGAACTAATCTTTCGCCGTGAGCTAATCATTCTCCGTGAACTAATCACTCGCCGTGAACTAATCTTTCGCTGTGAACTAATCACTATGAACGGATTTTTCTTAGCTTTTCACATGGTTTTAATTACTTATGGCATTTTGTGTACTTTGTAGACTGTCAGCGGAAGCAAACCATGTTGCCTTATTTAGTGTCGGAGAACCGCAGCCTTCTTTACAACGCCCACAATAGGGCTAAAGCGCCACCTGCTGTAAAACGAATGAAATGATTAGTTCAAGATTCGTTCAGGACTCGTTCATTTTACTGCTCGAGAGTCAAAGATTCGAACCAATAAAAAGAGTCAGTCTTCCCATCACTACTGTGAACTTTAGAATTCTGGCGGCGGAGAGTGGGCGGGGCGAGTTGGCGCTGCAGGGCGTATTCGCGCAGGGGCTGAGCGAGGAGTTGAATGACTAGTTGGCGGTCCCCGATGAGACCTCTCGATGAGCTAATTTCTGGCTATAAGGGTGGATAATCGGGTCAGGGAGCGCCGTCGTAAGAGGAGGAAAGATCCCGGTAGTTCGCTTGACACCTCCCTTCCGGTGCCTTCCATCCGCAGTTAACTGTTGCGCGTGGCAGTGTCCCCGGTTCCTGCTACTAGTCTTGCTGAAGAACCTATGCAGGTGGACCGTGTTAGATTCTTTGCTTTGGGGCGTCGGGGGGTGTTTTTGCTGTGGACAGAGGGGTCATTTTATCATGGGCCGCAGCGGCCAAAAGACTGGGCTCACCAACAGAACAGGCCGAACTGGTGAGCCATTCCACTTTTGACAATCTGGCTCCGCGGCTCCTGCTTCACGGGTCGACCGAGACGTTAGCCTCACCACAGACTGTTAATGCGCTGTATGTGAGAAAGTTACGGTACAATGGCAGTTATCAGGTAACCATAGGGAAGAAATTCAATTTGATTGCCATCTCCTCATGCTCCCGTAGTATTGGGCAGTCCGTAGCTAGTTAAGCACAATCCGCATATTGATTGGGTTAGTGTTGCGGTGCTTCGTTGGAGCACTGGCTGTCACTCTCTCTGCCTGCAATCCGCCTTATCTCCTTCGTCTTCATCAGTCTCTTCCTCTCGGCCGGTATTTACCGACTTAACCAATGTTCCGTCATGCTATCATGACTTGCAACTGGTTTTTAGCAAGGAGAGCGCTTCGTCGTTACCTCTACCTATCTCCTCCCTGGTGCTCGTTTTCCAAAAAAGTCAGTTGTATAATTTGTCCCGTACTGAAAAGGAGGCCATGGAAAATTATGTGAAAGATTCGTTAACTGTGGGACTAATTTGGCCGTCTTCGTCTTCCTTTAGGGGCGGAGTTTTTCTTTGTGGTGAAGAAGGACAAATCATTGCGTCCTCGTATTGGTTATCGGGGGTTAAACGAGATCATTGTGAGGAACAAATACCCGTTGCCCCTCATTGATTCGGCGTTCGAACCGTTGTGTGAGGCCGTGGTTTTTTCCAAGGTAGACCTATGCAATGCTTACCATCTGGTTTGCATCCGGGAGGTGGACGAATGGAAGACCGCTTTTAACACTCTTTTAGGCCATTTTGAGTATTTGGTTGAAACCTTTTGGCTTAAATGCCCCAGCAGTCTTCCAGGCACTGGTGAGCGATGTGTTACGGGACATGTTAAATCATTTTGTTTTTGTCTATTTAGATGACATTAATTTATTCGTGGAGTTTGGAGGAGCACAAATGCCACGTTAGAATGGTACTACAGCGCCTGCTAGAAAAGTTGTTCGTGAAGGCAGAAAAGTGCGAGTGCGAATCGGGGGTTACTGGCTATAGTGTCTGGACAGATCATAAGAACTTGGAGTACCTCAGCAAAGCAAAGAGACTGAATCCTCGACACGATGGGCCCGTTCCATGGAGAGATTCAGTTTCACCTTAGCACCCAGGCTCTCATAATGTGAAGCCCGACGTACTCTCCAGACTCGGAGGTTAAGGTTAAGGAGACGACTAACATCCTTCCCCCAAGTTGTTTGGTGGCGGCGGTTACTTGGGAGATCAAGAGTCTGGTTCGAGAAGCCCAAGAGATGGAGCCCGGTCCAGGTAATGGACCAGTGGGTTGGCTATATGTACCAGAGGGGGTCCGGTCTCAGGTGCTGCAGTGAAGCACTCCTCTAAGTTGTCATGCCACCCTGGGGTTCATAGAACGTTGGATTTCTTGAGACAACGGTTCTGCCTACGATTGCCAAGGACACAAGCTTTGTGTTGGCATGTGCTACATGTGCTCGTGGCAAGCCTTCCCATCTCTCCTCGAGGGGCCTTCTGCAGCCACTAGGAACCCCGAGCCGCCCCTGGTCCCACATTGCGGTGGACTTCGTGATCGATCTGCCATTGTTTGAAGGTAACACCACTATTCTAACTGCAATTGACCAATTCTCCAAGGCTGTGCTTTTTGTTCCCCTCCCTAAACTTCCCTCAGCATCTGAAACTGCAGATCTTTTGGTGCTCCATGTTTTCTGACTGCACGGGTTTCCCCAGGACATTGTGTCGGACTGAGGTCCACAGTTTTTGTCACAAGTATGGAGATCCTTTTACAAGACCTTGGGAGCATCGGCCAGTTTGTCTTCCAGCTACCACCCTCAGACAAATGGATAGACGGAGCGGGCGCATCAGGACTTGGGAACTGCCTTCTTGTGTGTGACCAGCTGCCACCCAGCATCTTGGAGTTTATTCCTTCCCTGGGTGGAATATGTGCATAATTCTCTGACCTCTTCAGCCACAGGTATGACACCCTTCATGGCCTCTCTAGGTTATCAGCCTCCTCTTTTCCCCAAACAGGAGATGGAAGTAGCGGTCTCGGCGGTACAGAGGAACATCAGTCGAGCCCGTAGAGTCTGGAGAGTGGCTAAGGCTGCTCTGTTGCGGGCCAAAGCAAGGACCAAGCAAGTGGCTGATGGACATCGGTCTCCTGCTCCCACCTACCAGCCAGGGCAGAAGGTATGGCTGTCGACCAGAGACATCCCCTTACAGGCGGAGGGTTGTAAGTTGGCCCCCCGATTTATTGGCCCTTATAAGATTGAGAAGTGCGTCGGTCCATCTGTGGTTCGCTTACAGCTTCCTCCGTCCCTCAAGATACACCCTACATTCCATGTTTCTTTACTCAAGCCAGTGACCACCAGCCCAATTAACTTGTGAATGATCTCCTTTTCTTTGTTGAGTTGCACAGGAGTGGGATTCCAGCCCTGGGGAGAAACACGTGTGGGAGAAATTGTTTGGAGTCACCTTGTTTGCACTGGAGCACCTCTTCACCATCCACGTTGTCATGAATTAAATCACTGAACCTGTTGTAAATAAACTTTGTTGAATGAAAATCTGCCTGTCCTGTGATTGGGTTCACCTTACTGGGGTAAAGTTTTCGTTTGGCAGGAACAACTCGGGCTCAAAATACCGTGTCAATGCCAAGCATGCATTTGTCCTTTTGTTCAATAAATAGAAAAAAAAATGTTTTCATATTCAGGAATGCTGATGAATCTCAATTAATCTAGATTACTAGTATATCGACTTTAATCTGATTAGAAATTGTAATACAGTACTTTGACAGCCCTACTTTTAGTTTCAGTTGAGTGTCACTTCGCTGGCTTTTAGAACTTCAATAACTTTTAGAAGTTTAATGCACCAAGGAACCAAACTCAAGTTTTCTGAAAATAGTCTCTTTAAAAAAAAACTAAACCTCCTTCACCGCTATTAGATCTAAGTTCAACTTCTGGGATCTCTCCTACATCTCAAGGAGCTTCTAAGAAGGTCCAAATGATCTGGCCAGGAAAAGAACATCTTTATTTTAAGTAACACAGACCAACCTTGCTGAGTACACCAGGATTGGGGTCGTTTTGCAGTAGCACTGCTGCTGTGCGTGTATCGTCATTGCGTGCTGCTATATGCAATGCAGGTAGGCGGACTTTTCCCTTGGTGCCATAGTTGATGAGCAGGGCTACAATGTTTTCATGTCCCTGCTGAAGAGCCACGGCGAGAGGCGTGAATCCGTCCTGAAGCAAATATTAGCAGGTTAGACGACACACTTAGTCAGTGAGAAGAAATGGCAGCAATAAAGACGCTCAGAGAACAAAACAGAATAGAAACGCAGCGTTTCTGGATGAGCGAGGATGGGGTTGAGCAAATTGGACAGTTGCACTTAGATCAAACTTCTCACAGTTCTTTGATACCTCGGTTGGAATGCTCTGATTAGCTCCATTGTCCAGAAGAAACTTCACAACCTCTAGATGGTTTTCTTGCGCAGCCATGTAGAGTGGAGTGAAACCCTTCTGTCTCAGGAAGACGCACACATACAGCAGCAGCAGAGGAGACACAAGCAAAATGACAATAGAAAGACAAGTGATTGTACATAAAGGCAACACAAACACAAAGAGATAGGAACAAAGACCAATGTTAACAAATGGAGCTGCAATATTCATACAATGGTTCTACAGTTAAGGTTATGTACTACTGACAGGTTGCCTCACTGAGTCCTCCTCACTCCTGTGATCATCACAGTGGGAACGCGTCTTAACCCTTGTGCGGTCCTTCGCATTTTTGTACACTTTTGTCCTTGCAATGATTTTCATCTTGTCCCAGAATATGAGTATTAATGAATATGAGGAAAAGTTGGCACAAGTCATGCAGTACAGGAACATGCACACGCATGCGCGTGCACACACACACACACACACAAAGACATATTCGACATATTCGGGTCTAGGTGACCCGGGGGTCACCCGGGTCCTTACAAGGGTTAATCTCACCTGGGACTGAGCGTTGACATTGGCCCCGTAGGTAACCAGCTCTGTGACCACTTGCTCCTGTCCTGCCAGGGCTGCGATATGAAGGGCCGTGTTCCCCTTCTGTTTAAACACAGATACATGCAGAACAATAGTACTGAGAACTAATAGTAAAACAGAGGATTATGTAATGCCTGCTTCTGACAATAAACTGTAAGAAAGAAGATTATTAGAAGTCCTTGTGTTTTAAAGGTAATAAAGGAAAATCAGGTACCAAGTGTTCGAGTTTGAAAGGTCGGCATCGGTCTTTACACTGGTTCAATCTTGCAATGTTTCAGTAATTTCTGCAAAAATTTAGTTACCACTTGCAGTCCACTCCAATTTAATTAGTAAATTTTGGTTTTTAGACCCAGAGAAATGTTGGTTTTTAACTGCTATTAACAATGCTGATTTTTAAATATTTTAGTCAGATTTACCAGTAACTTAGGGTTTAATTCTTTTAGTTATTAGTCCAAGTCGGAACCCTTTTTGTTGTGTGTTTTATGGGAAGAGTCTCTATTGATGCCCCAACCAACTTGGTGCCACCTTGAGAAAATGTTTAGATAGGAGACACTGTTTGCCTCCTTTTTGAATAAAGGTTGTTTATTGTTAATTGTTCGACTTATTCCATTGGAGTCATGTGCAATTAGCAAGACATGTTTTCTGATTTTGTTTTTTATTTGAACATTACCTAGTGTATTTATATTTTATGTATGCATATACACTGCTGGTCAAACGTTTTAGAACACCACACTTTTTCCAGTTTTTTACTGAAAATTATTCAGTTTATTGTGTCATTGCACTCTGAAATGAAAGCATAGAACAAATAAGCAATTAGAGTTGAAAAAGAAATCATGGAATCAATTTATAGACCAAAATGTATTCTAAACTTTAGAATAGCCACCTTTGGCCGATATAACAGCTGAACACACTCAAGGCATTCTTTCTACAATATAAGTCAAATTTTCTTCAGAAAGTTCTTCCCAAATCTGTTGCAGAAGTTCCCATAAATGTGTGGCACTTGTAGGTTGCTTGGCTTTCACTCTTCTGTCCAGTTCATCCCAAACCAGCTCCATGGGGTTTAAGTCTGGAGACTGTGCTGGTCACTCCATGTTTTCAAGCTTACCATCTTGTTCTTCATTCCTGAGATAGTTTTGGCATAGCTTGGACTTGTGTTTTGGGTCATTATCTTGCTGTAGGATGAACCTCTGACCAACTAGGCACATACCAGAGGGTGTTGCATGGCTCTGCAGAATGCGGTGGTAGCCATTTTGGTTCAGGGTGCTGACCCTGGATCCAGCAAAACAACCCCAGACCATCACACTTACTCCTCCATGTTTGACAGTTGATGTCACACACTGTGGAACCATCCTCTCACCTACTCAACGACGTATAAAGATCCTGCGTGATGAACCGAAGATTTGAAATTTTGATTCATCAGTTCATAATACCTTCTTCCAGTCTTCAGTAGTCCAATGGCAGTGTTTCATGGCTCAGGAGATCCTTTTTGTCTTATTCTGACATCTTAGCAATGGCTTTCTTGCTGCAACTCGCCCTGTCAAACCTGCAGCTTGAAGTTTTCTCTTCACAGTTGAAACTGAGACTTGCTTACTACGACCACTATTAAGCTGTGCTTGAAGCTGTTGTCCTGTGAGCCGCCTATCACGCAAGCTGTTAACTCTCAGAAACTTGTCTACTGATTCAGTTGTGGCTTTGGGTCTGCCAGACTGCTTCCTGTCAGAGTTTCTCCCAGTTTCTGAGTGCCTTTTGATGGTGAAGAAAACTGTACTCACTGACACCTTGACTTTCTTTGCAATTTCCCTGTAGGAAAGACCTACATTTTTAAGTGTTATGACGGTCTGTTTCTCTTTCATTGTTAATAGCCTTTTTCTCGCCATTTTTGTAGCAACACACTACTTTCTGCAGTATAATACTGTTCACCTGATGCTCATGAGGGGCTGGTACCACAGTGTGTTCCAACACTGCTTTCATGCAGACAGAGGGGGTTGTAAGTAATCCAGAAAAGTTGGGACACCTGTAGGAATTAGTAGCACCAGTTTTCAAGGCTGATTCAGCTTTAAATTGTTAACCCACTTCGTGTTCCCTGAAAATGGCCTTTTTGTATAATTTTGAAATGTACATTATTTTTCGGTTTTGGGTAACCAAACCTTTTTTTAACCTCTGGCTGTTCAGTACTTACCTATGTACCATTTCAAGCTATTTATTGGGCTTACAAGACTTGAATTGCAATAAATAACTCAAAAAATTGGGGTGTTCTAAAACTTTTGACTGGTTGTGTATATTTGGCTGAATCATTATGAGACCTAACTAATGTATCTACAGTAACAGATGCCTGGTTGTTTGTATTTTGCTGGAGAGGCTGTTGTTGTTTAAATAAAAAACCTTACCTTTGTGGTGGTCTCCAGTATGATTCCATTGTGGAGTAGCTCTAACACCATTTTGACGTGGCCTTCTTTAGAGGCCAGATGCAGCCCGTTCAGCCCATTCTGAGTGAGAGAGCAGAGCAGACACAGATACTTCCTAAAATCACAGAAATCACAACATGTACTGTACATGTAGTACACAAACACACAAGTGTACACAGGCCATGCCATCACAGTGACAATGCAGAACCAAAGAGGTCATTAGTGAAAATAATGTGTGAACGTTTCCATTTGATTAATGATGGTGGCAGGAGGAAAGGGATGGGAGCGGGATAGCAGGCCACTGGTCTTGTGGCTGGGAAGAAAAAAAAACGGGTGGGAAAAGGGGGTCCTCACACAGCCTTCCTTCAGCCGCACAGGACATGTGAGGTTGGACCTTTCCCACACCACTAATATTATTCCTCTGAGTGGAGAGACCACAGCACACCATCACTCTACTGCACTCAGGAAGGGTAGGAAGCAGGAAAGAGAGAGTGCGTGATAAAGGAGGGATAAGCAAAACAAAAAGTGAGTTAGAAGAAAGTAAAAGAGAAGAGAAAGTAGTGGGGATAGTTAGAGAGATATTTGCAGAGGAGATAATGAGAGGAGAGGAGGAAAGCAACATGCTGATGAGTGAACCCACACGGAAATAGCAACTGCCACAGTCAGGGGGCAATAGGTCAAACACTCATCAGACAACAAAACACAAGCAGGATCAACAATAGTCTTAGTGCTGGTGTTGATGTGAAATTAAGTCTTTCCCAACAGCAATATTTAGTGAGGTTTTTTTTATCTTCAAATATAAAGATGGATGGTTTTACTGTGGAAAACAAAAACTCATATTGGATGAAAAGTAATATACGGTATGCCTGCACACGATTGGAACCTTGGTGCAGAAATTAAAATTTTTCAATTTTACTAGTGCCATCTGGTGGTAATATGAAAAGTCAATGGTGACTAAGCAACAACTTTTACTGCACTGTGATCTCACCAAAATGATATTTTTAAACATTGAGTTACAAACTAAAGATCAATTTAAAGGTTTTATTTAATTCATAATTTAATTCAAGTTGTATTTAATTCACATTTATTAGTTGTAAACACCATCATGAGGGATTATCTGCTTTGGGCTAATATGGTATGTGATCAAGTCCAGAATTTAAGAAGAAAAATAATTTTTAAAAAGTTCTGGATAAACATCACTGAGTAGAAAAAAAATTGCATCATTTTTACAAAGGTTGTGTTAATAAACCAGTGGACTTCCAAAGTGTCTCACACAGATTTTGTCCATGTCTAAATCGCCATAGGGCAGGAGTTTTAGCCCCCCTCCTCCTCCTGTACACTCTGGGAACAACTGTCAAACTAAAGTAGCCAGAATGGAAGAGACAGGGCAAAGGAGTAGATCTTGCCCTATTTAACACCATCCCCAGAGTCTCTGTTAAACCTCCCTGTCACCTTTAGCCGCTGCTTAACAGTGGACTGTGGCATCATGTGCAGTGCATGACTGAGTGGACAAGCAGATGAACAGGCAGAGAACAGCACAGTAGTCAACTCAGACACATCATGTTTTAGAACATCACACTAACTACACATTTATATAGACTGTAGGAAAATAATAAAGAATTATAGGTAACATTTTGACTTATTATCAATCAAATCAGAAGCTCTGTTGAAATGATGCAAAACTAGTAAATGTAGAGTATCCAGCTCCTTTTTAGTGGAACACTAGAAGTGTATGTGGTATGGTAATCTGCAGGTAGAAGCCTGATTCTGATGAGGAAAAATATCTGCCTAAAGATTTAGTTCAACCATAATTCAAACAAAATATTGTAAAATATAAATCTACTAAATTGTTGTTCTTAAATATGATACAATACTGGATGGCATTTGTAATAAACCCTAATGTTGTACCACTTCACAAAAATTGCCCACTGCTAGAACAGTGTACCTGCAGGCAATGGAGAGATATTTGCATACGCTATTGTCATAATATATACAAGTTTTAGTATATGTAACAGAGGTTAGTTGTTATGCAGCTATAATTACACAAAATTGTTTTATTTGGTCTACCTGAAGGATGTGGGTTGTTCCACCTTGGGCGGAAACTTGACGTATATTTTTTTGATATACTGTAAAAAGCCAGCCACACCCAACCTCTCCCTCTTTCTTCAGACTTTGTGGGGGAGGTTAGTGTTTTTCTGTTGCTCCTTGTTTTTAGCATTTTATTTCATTTTGCAAAATATATTTATTTTATGTATATTTTGTAGGGGCTCGGGCAATGTCCAGGAGGAAAATTTATTTTGTTCTGTATGAATTCTGTCAGATCAATAAAGACATTTGTGACAGCAGCACAGCTTTCATTAAACACAACGCCGAGGCTACACCGGTTACATATACATAGGCAAAATACAGGCATTCTCTACCCTTACCTGTTCTTAAATGCACGCAACAATGGGCCAATAACATTTGTTTCTCAAACACCACCAAAACAGTGTGCATTTAATTTTAAACTTTCAACTTTAAAAAAGCAGCTCTCTCACCTGATTGGCTGTATTTATATCTATGCCATTTTTAATATGGTCCAGAGCCTTGTCCAAGTTGCCAGATCGGGCCGCTCGGAGAAAACTGTTGCCAGCATCTGCCTGCAAGTTGATCAAAGACGGAACAAGAGGGGGATAAGAAATACACATAAAGTAGATGAATGGAAAGAGAAAATAGAGGGAGACACAGTTAGGTTAATAGTTGTTCTTATTAAAAAACATTTAAAGCCCAGACAATGTCCCGTCAGGTTTCATTCCTACCGTGGTGGTTTGGAGAGTGCAGTGTGAAAATCGAATGGGAATTTTGTGTGTAGCATGCCCACCAGGAGAGTAAGTGTTTACTCTGAGAGAAAACTGTGCTTTTAAGTTCATAAAAACCATCAATGTTGTCCATGTGCTTATCTGTAGCTCTGTGCTCAGTTGATAAGGCCAGTGCGACAAACTGAGTCTACAGTGTGTCAGCAGTGTCAGACTTAGAGTTGGTGTGAGTGTGAAATAAAGACAGGAAAAGAGACAAATGGGGAACAGATAAAAGCTACAGTGAGACTTTAGTGAGTTCTGGCTCCAAAGCTGCAACACGAGTGGTACAGTGTTCTGTTTCTGACTGAGGATGTCACGGCTCTCCCAGGCTGCCAGGGCTGCTGCTGAAACAGGATTACTCATGCAATACAAAGGAAAAGCATGTGGGAAAAGGGAGAAAAGCCAGAGGAGGGCCACCAGGGGCATGCAGCAAACCCTGCACCTTTAAATGTCTAGTTCTACAGTACATTCGTCCAGAGCAGCTATTAAAAATACCAGTCAGGAAAACACAGTTAAAGTTCAAATGTTAATGCACCAACTGCTCTCATTCACTCAGCTTCATAACACTGTGTTAAAGCGGTGTCGTCTGTTGTGACAGGGTTGTTGGTCATGTTCTGAGAGAAAGGGTACGAGTCTGGGTACATAGAGAAAAGATCCACATGCCTGCACTAATGGCATAGCAACAAATGACACAACAACACAGTGTGACACCGAAAGGAACAGCCCTGGGTAAAGAGTGAGAGAGTCAACGTTGGGGAAAAAAACCAAGAAGCTTTGTCAGGAAAACAAACAAACAAAAAAAAATTAAAAGGAAAAGTTGCCTCCAGCTAACTGTACCAGCAGTTGACCGTTGTCTCTGTATTTCTAATGCAGATTTCTACTAACTCAAGTAAAGTTGAAACACTTCCCAAAAGACTACAGAGTCAAATCTGTAGATTGGTAATCCACCTAAACGTTCTAGAAAAGCAAAAATGCAAAAACTGCTTTTATGCATTCTTCTTCTTTTCCTTTCAGCTTCTCCCTTTTTCAGGGGTTGCCACAGCGAATCATTGTTTTCCATCTCTCCCTGTTCTCTACTCTGACTTTAACTATCTGCATGTCCTCCATTCATAAATCTCCTCTTTGGCCTTCCTCTTTGTCTCCTACCTGGTAGCTCTATCTCTAACATTTTTCTACCAATGTATCCACTGTCCCTCCTGCACGTGTCCAAACCATCTCAATCTGGCTTCTCTAGCTTTTTCTCCAAACCTTCGTGTCTGTGTTGTCCCTCTAATGACCTCTTTAGTGATCCTGTCCAACCTTGTCACTCCTAAAGAGAATCTTAGCATCTTTAACTCTGCCACCTCCAGCTCCGCCTCCTGCCGCCCCCTGTCTTTTGCCTATTCCTCCTGCCTCTAAACCATACATCATGGCTGGTCTCACAACCGTCCTGTAAACCTTTCCCTTCACTTTAGCTGACACTCTTCTATCACAGATTACTCCTGACACTTTTCTTCAACTGTTCCATCCTGCCTGCACTCTATTCGTCACCTCTCTTCCAGTCTCCTCTGCTCTGAACAGTTGATCCTAAGTACTTAAACTCCTGCACCTTCACCACCTCTACTACTTGTAACCTCACCATTTCACTGTTCTCCCTTTTGTTTACACACATGTACTCTGTCTTGCTACGGCAAACCTCCACCGAGGTTCTCTTCTAGCTGCTGCCTATTCTCACTACAGATCACAATGTCATCTGCAAACAACATAGTCCATGACTCCAGTCTGACCTCATCTGTCAATCTGTCCATCACCAAAGCAAAAAAGAAGGGGCTCAGGGCCGACCCTTGATATAGTCCCACCTCCACCTTGAAGTCTTCTGTCCTTCCAACAGCACACCTCACCACTGTTGTACTATTCTCATATATGTCCTTCACCAATCTAACATACTTCTCTGCCACTCCTGACTTCCTCATACAAAACCACAATTCCTCCCTTGGCCTTTTCAAATCTACAAATACACAACGCAGTAGTGGTGCATATTTTGGTATCGAGCCGGTACTAAGTAAATATGGGCCAGTATCGCCAATACCGATCTGATACTTTAAAATAAATAAGGTGGATACGTCATTAAATTGCTAAATCTCAATTAATTTTCATGACCTTAAGTGTTTTTTTGTAATGTTTTCTTTTTTATTATTAAATAGTTAGAACCCAGGACAGAATTAGGACAAGTTTATAATTAAATAGAAAATGGTTTATGTTCTGAATGTAACCATTGTTCTGCACTCCTTGCTGCAAGTTTGAGATCTCGTATTTGATTCTTTATTTGATTTTTATTTGATTCTTTGTGTCCCTGTACCTGTACATACCTGTGGTCCCTGTACGATCGGAGTAGGAGCTTGGTTCGCATTGCCGGCAGTAACTCGGACTTGTTCCCGGTGCATGTTGGACTACGGCAGGGCTGCCCTTTGTCACCGGTTCTGTTCATTATCTTTATGGACAGAATTTCTAGGCGCAGCCAGGTGTCGGGTGGGGTCCAGTTCGGCCAGAGTACTGGAGAGGAAAATCCGGCCGATAGTCGAACCTCAGATTCAAGAGGAACAATGCGGTTTTCGTCCTGGTCGTGGAACACTGGACCAATTCTATACCCTCCAGTATGGGTTTAGGGGCCCTCTTTTAAGGGCTGTCCAGTCCCTGTACAATCGGAGTAGGAGCTTGGTTCGTATTGCCGGCAGTAAGTCGGACCTGTTCCCGGTGCATGTGAGACTACGACAGGGCTGCCCTTCGTCACCGGTTCTGTTCATTATTTTCATGGACAGAATTTCTAGGCGCAGCCAGGTGTCGGGTGGGGTCCAGTTCGGTAGCCACCGGATTTCATCTCTGCTTTTTGCGGATGATGTGGTCTTGTTGGCCTCTTTGAACCAGGACCTGCAGCATGCACTGGGGCGGTTTGCAGTCGAGTGCAAAGCCGCTGAGATGAGAATTAGCACCTCTAAGTCCGAGGCCATGGTTCTCGACCGGAAAAAGGTGGTTTGCACCCTTCGGGTTGGGGAGGAAGTCCTGCTTCAGGTGGAGCATTTACATCGCATGCCCCCCGGACGCCTCCCTCGGGAGGTGCTCGGGTGCCGTCCCTCTGGGAGGAGACCTAGGGGAAGACCTAGGACCCGCTGGAGCGACTACGTCGCTCGGCTGGCCTGGGAGCGCCTTGGGGTCCCCCCAGAAGCGCTGGAGGAAGTGTCGAGGGAGAGGGAAGTCTGGGTGTCCCTGCTCAGACTGTTGCCCCCGCGACCCGGCCCCGGATAAGCGGTTGATGATGGATGGATGGATGGATGATTCTTTGTGTGTTAGGAAACTGGGGAATGAACTAACAGCATATTTTACAGTCCTATCTAAAAGAAAAAGTTTCCTGACAGGGCACATCAACCTCGTTTCCATTATTTTCTGCAATTTTTGGACCAACTCATTAAAAAAATTGGAAAAAATAATAATTAATAAAAAAAATCCCATTTTCTGTCCTGTTCACGGTGACAGATACTTTAATATTTTATTTTTTCTATTAAAGTTTCCCCTGTCCCACACTGTTTCTTTCTCACACTCTCTCTCACACACGCAAACGTGCACATACACACACCTGTCTCAACTCTTAGCATCACCACAGAGGGATACATCATCCCTTAATGGCACTGTTTTGTCATGTAAATCTTTCTGAGGGTGTATGACTTGCCTTTGTACTTGAATCTTAGGGACCATTTGCATCACAACAGGGCGCTGATATGTAAAATATAAGCTGCATGTTCTGCAGATTAAATGTCTGGCCTCAGGTTTTTTGCGAGCAGACAATGTCAGAAAAACACTCAAGTGTAAGGATTTTTTGCTTTTAGCTTCACATTACTGAATTCATAAAGCTGGCAAACTGTTTACTGTTAGAGAATGCAATTAATATAAACAGAGACAGTCACATTCTGTTTGGTGTACACTGTCGTGGTAGATGTACAAGTGTGCAGACTCTGCCACTGTGACACTGGAAAATCTCCTCTAAAGTTGCCAGCAAACACAGCTGATGAAAAGACACACATTACTTTGGCATATCATACATGCCTCCAGCAGGGTAGCATAGTAACACTGTGGTGACCCTGGCAGTGGCTCTTTCTATGGGTACATGTGACCAAGACACTAAGGATACACAGTACAATGAGCCCAAAGAACTCTGGCCACTGGTCGTCTTCTACTCCTGTGTGTGTATCTGCTTGCGTCAAGAGGAGTGTGTGTGAGTTGTGATAAGGCCGCAGGGAAACCACGCCCATCCACCAAGTCAGGTGAAGTGTGCGTGCATAGGTGTGATTGTTCCTATCAGAGGAAAACCTTTGTACGCAGCAGTCTAAAAATGATGTGTAGTAATTCCTCTGCTCTGTTTCAGTTGTACTCTAGTCTGATTTAGATGAATAAGTTCCTCTTTCGTTATTCCCACAGAGAGCAGACAAGCTTCCGGCTTTAAGACTGAGCCCCAACATGAGCAGGGACATTAATCATACTGTTAGCAGCAAAGGCAACAACACAATAACTGCCTGTTAGGCAGCTGTACAGTTAACAGTACAGTTAACTAACTGTACAGTTAGCAGTGTAACAACAACCACACTGTGCTGCACCATGTATGCAGCTCTCCTCAGGTTTAGACACATGCATACATTGTAACAGTGCTAAAATTACAAAGATATATTATTCCACTGTCTCATTACAGAAAGTGATCTCTTCTCTTCTCCTTCATGTCTCATTTTTACCTGTTGCCTCCTCTACCTCCTCCTCTTTTCCCCTCTCTCCTTCTC